AACAATTTCGTGCTGAAAATTTGAATTTCAAGATAAAGTAACCTGAACGACTCGAAACATGTTTCTTATAGGTTTTCGACAATGCTCTTTCCAGTGGCATTGTTTTTAAATATTGAGAAAGTTTTCTAAAGGGTTTCCCAGAAACCGGATCTCCGGAAAGCTCTTTAGAAAACTTTTTCAAAACCCAATTCTCATGCCATTAGAAAGAGGATCACGAAAAACTTATAAAAAGTGGTTCATGAAATTTTAGTTCCCTCATAAAGCTAAAGTCTGCCTGCTCTAGCAAAAAATGCCCACTATGTAGGAGTATAATACTTTGCTTACACCAAGCTGATTCGCTTTAGAATAAATATTTTAATGAGAAGAGCAATGAAAGAGTGACGCTCATCCCAAGAAAAAAATACAGTTTTAGAAATCAGAAGAGTAGAAAATTAAGTGTCATACATTATTCAACAGATCAACAGATAGAACGTGTCACTCTGCTTATAATACTATGTGCAGGTGATGCAGGTAATATTTGGTCAGGTCATCGAATGAGCATGTGCTTACAAAATAAAATTGGAATTAAAGCTTGATTATTCTTTTAATAAGGATCTGACTGGTATGTACAAAATCTAAACTTGATCTGAACGCTTTAGTTTTGAGATAACTGTACGTTTTCATCAAAAACGTCAGGGAGTATCTATCGATAATCTCAGTTTTTCTGGCGAACGCATATAGCACTATTAGTTAATCTTTTTCAAGATTATCTATCTCGATAAGCACTACGCTTACTAAAAGTTTCATGAGATACTGTTAGATACAAACAAAGATACGAATGGAATAATTTGTAAAAGTGACTTGACGTCTGTGAAATGAACAAGTATTCAAATACATTTGAAAAAAGTCTGGAAATAACTCCAATCCATGTGGAAACATAGATTTCCTGACGAGTTCAAGTTTTAAGGTATAGTCTGGACCGTCGAATGAACTTATCAACAGGACTCTGGAGTAGAGCCCATCGGGTCCGGACATACGTTCGACCGGAGTTTTGATCACAAATGTTATCGTTTTGGAATATTGTTGTGTGACCCAGAAAAATCTCGCTCTACTACTTCAGAGTCTTCCTGATAAGTTCAATCGAAGGTCCAAGTTATATCTCAAAACTTGAACTAGTCGGGAAATCGATGCTGTCACATAGATCTGAGTTATCCTCGGATTTTTTCAAATTAACCTAGGAGAAAATCAAATCAGCATATGCACCCATCTCGAGTTAAATTACGCACGGGCGTAATTCCTATTCTTTTGAATTTGAGTTACGCTTATAATCTGTTTAGTCAAACGGATTTTATGAACAGTATACATTTGACACGATAACAGTACCATGATAATGTGTACGTACAATCTGTCATTCCACGTGGACACGACAATGACGTTAAATAAACCACAGAAAAAGGTTTACACTATGGATTATAATTTTTGTCCTAAAGACACTTTTTCTACTTTGTTATGTATAGGTCAATGTCCGCATTATTTTATGAACAACGTTAATCTTTTTGAATCTGTACCCGTAGAAGATCGAGAAAAACTATTAAATAGTATTGAAACAAATGTCGTACCGTCTGAAACTGATTATTATACAATCAATCCATTAGGAAAAAATGTGAACGATACCAACGACGAATACTGGAAAGCAGTTAAGTTTTATTCTACAAATAATATTAATAAAGATTTTCTTCACGATATTATTCATGCTGTACAGGTTTGGGATACATTGCTATCTCAATACTTTGCATCCACAAAAGGAACTGACCATCTTGATCATTTATTATTAGTATTATTTGTATTTAAAGCGATAGATGGGAATGGTAATCAGAAAAATTTAGAAAAATGGAAAAATCATTTTTTGGATGATAATGCTATCAACGAGCGGCATCATCCGGAAATCGCCGTCGCCGCGGATTCTTATATGTTAAAGTGTAAAAGGATAAACATGCATAACTGAGGGCGAAGAAGTGAGGATGAGGGTGGAGCACTTCTTCACCAACTTCACTCTCACTTCTCCACCCTCACCCTCACTCGCCGCGAGTTCGTATATGTTAAAGTGTTAAAGTGTTAACACTTTAACACTGAATCCGCGGCGACGGCGATTTCCGGATGTTATGGAAACTTGTGATTTTCACCATGGTGAAGCTAAAATCTTACTACTTCTGTTCGTAATAAGATCTTTCACAAATCGTTTTGAGGCTAGTGTATCCAACGAACTTTCGAAAAAACGAGATTGCTCTCTGCCGAAGTTGACATTCTAACTGTTACTTTCACAGCATAATTAGATAGTTCTAAGGACATCTATAAATTAGTGAAAGTCCATGATCGTTAACTATTGAAGTTCAGGATGAGAATCAATTTCTATATTAAAAGTAAAGCAAAGTTCAATCAATCTTTTTGAACATCAACCTAACCTTTGATTAGTGAATTTCATCCGCTGCCACATCAGTTTTCTAAAATACATTGGCAAAAAATATAAGATCTGATCATAGCTACACGTTGATGGAAAAGTGCAGTCCTCTATCTGTTTTCGGTCAAAAGATAAAAAGGCTCATATGCTCAGAGCTACAATGTATAGGTGAAGCTCTGACGCAAAGTAGAGGTCTGCATGCTGGCAGGGTTTTGAAACCTGTAACTTACCCTACCCAGTATTCATCCTGTGAAAAAGCTAGGACCAGAAAACCCAATTCTAGTTTTATTGCTCTTATGCCCATTTTATTTTTCTGTCCAAGGAAATTACAAGTTGCAAAGCAGTAAAATACCGTCTGCTACATGTGGATTGTAAAAAATATGCTCAAGGGACCTATTTTTCTCTAAAACTTTATTCAACGTACATTTGGAATCTATATAGGTTGACTTATGACGAAGTTTCACGAATATATAGCTGCGTAGTATTTCGAAAAGAAGAGCAGATTCTAACGATAGATGAAGTATAGATGCATAGATAATACTAAGTACAAGAAGCCGGTAGGGGATTCTCTGATTTCGGAATAAGACGAAAAAATTTAAAAATGACAGTAAATGTACGATTTGTCTAAAATACGGAAGTTTTGACATACAAAACTCTCTGAGACATAATTCCTTTAAATTTAGGAGTAAAACGTACTGCTTTGTCCCTATAGCCTAAGCCTCAAAGTTTGTTCTGGAAGTAAACTTAGTTAAGGCGTTTTGATAAGAAGAGTCAAGCGTTTATACTGCTGGATTTTGGAGAAACGTTAGTGAAAGACAGTAAGAAGAATGCAAAACTGCAAAATGCTAGTCATAGCAGATTTTCTTGTAAACAAAAACAAAGAAAATATGTTGGTGTTTACTATTAAACCGAGAGTATTTTAACATAAAAGAGTAATCAACGATTGCTCATTATGCAACATCAGATCAGAGCTCCGAGTTTTCCCTCTTCATTTCCACATGCTGTTATCTTTATTAGCATACGCCAGATAGTGCTGATTATTGCTCTCAACTTCAGACCAAAACATTATCGGATTCGAGGAGTAAAAGATTTCAAAAAGCAGGAAGTAAGGTCTCCCTCTCTACTCCTGTTGTCGTGGCATCCCTGTATAGATGTATAAACATATTTATTGGAAAAAGTGCTGCGATGAGACGTGGGTAGATTTGAACCCATTTACTTAGCTGCTATCGTACGAGGGAGGAAACAGGAGTTGACTGAAGGAAACATATCGAAAATCTCGACTACTGTAATTTAGTAGACCTGCCTCTGACAGAAGTCGATCTTATTCTGCTATAAACATCTGAACCGAAGAGTATTAGGACCACCTGATGAGATCGTTGAGCATCGGTCGAAACGCGTCGTGGTATGCTCAAAGAAAAATGCTTCTGTCGTGTCTCGAAACGAACAGGAAGAATGGGCGTTTTGTTTTCCACTGGCGAGAGTGTATAAAGACAGTCCTAGTGCGTCTTCGTGAGTATCATGTGTCAGTTTTGACCAATACCAGGAGATCCAATGAGATACTTTATTCCCCCACGATAGTGAAGATGAAATACCAGTTTTCTTGTTTTTAACGGGCTTATATTAAACACATATTAAAGAGATACCCTGAAGAGCTTTTGTTTTAATAAAAGCGAAACCGGTTGGTAATCAATTTTTAGAATCAAACAAACACTCAATTCTCCCTTGCGTGTCATTAGTGCTTTTACAGCCAGTCTCTTTCTAGAAGATTAGGTGTGTTGTAAATACGACCTCCTCCTCTTTTATTTTTTTGGCTTAAAGTTATTATTATATAAGAGATACCCTGAAGAGCTTTTGTTTTAATAAAAGCGAAACCGGTTGGTAATCAATTTTTAGAATCAAACAAACACTCAATTCTCCCTTGCGTGTCATTAGTGCTTTTACAGCCAGTCTCTTTCTAGAAGATTAGGTGTGTTGTAAATACGACCTCCTCCTCTTTTATTTTTTCGGTTTGCTAGCGTTATATTGAGATGACTGATACAGTTAATAACAATCTAACAGTGAAAACTCCAAGTCTACGGGCTTGTGTGGCTTTTCCGTTTGATTTGTCGGCTGGTTCGGTTCTCGATTTTCAACCAGCACGTCTTTCTGGACAGAGAGAAGAGTCGGAGGCTCTCCGATGGAGAAGCACTGGCCACTCTCGCGTCACAAACGATGGTACTTTTCGGCTATACAAAGCTGATAGTAAGACCGGAGATCGTGGTATTTGGATGCCCGTCTCAGAGTCTTTCCGTTCGGATGTTTGTTGAACGAACCCAGGTGACACATCCAGAAGTTGCAGGTCTGAGTCGAAATTCATCGACCGGCCAGATTGCTAGTGGTCGAACCTTCGTCAATTCGGCATACAAGCAGAATTTGACAATTCGACCCTGAATCGGTCATCCGTCGGCACGTTCAGTGCCACTAAAGCACTTACATCGGCGGCAAATACCCGATCATGCACCAGAACGTCCGACAAAGAGTGCTCTACGCCGCTGGAGACGTGAGCGGCTAGAGGTGCGTATTGCCAGTGGAAGTGGCAGTCGTAAAAAACCGCCCGCCCTGCAATCATCAGTTCGGTTAGCGACCCCTCGACGTGCTATCGAGGAGCCAGTCGTTATCGAACCACGCCCGTGTTTTTCGCCACGAGGCGACATATTGGAAGGTTTCCCTGGCGAGTCCCCCGATGCAAGGACCCCAGACCGTGTCAGTGTCGAATCTTTTTCGGCCGATTCCACGGAAGAAGGGATGCTTCTGGACCGATCGCCAGACAACGGAGTCAGCGATCTCGACGAATTGGCGGCACACCTGGAACTCGACCACGATGAAGACTAACATGTCTTCTCTTTTTTTGTGTTGTGTGCTTTTTCGTTTTTGTGTTTTCTTTTTTGTTGTTTTTTCTACTGTGTTTTTTATATATATATTTTTTATTTTATTTTAAGTGTTTGTATTCGTGTTCTAGATACCCTGAAGAGCTTTTGTTTTAATAAAAGCGAAACCGGTTGGTAATCAATTTTTAGAATCAAACAAACACTCAATTCTCCCTTGCGTGTCATTAGTGCTTTTACAGCCAGTCTCTTTCTAGAAGATTAGGTGTGTTGTAAATATGACCTCCTCCTCTTTTATTTTTTCGAGCTAATTCCCTCTCACTGTGTATCAGTACCGTCCGAAAGCGTGACAGTGCTGATTTTGGAGGAGACATGACGACCGCAGGAGACCGTTTCGTGACACAACATAGATATCAGAACCCGCAAATGGATTTAGACGAGCCCGACATTCCGAATGGACAAGGATTTCGAGAGAGTCGCAATCCCAGGCAGCCACAGCAGGCTACACTGATGGATTGGTGGCCTCAAGATTTCCGTGATCAGGAGGTTTCGTTTGAAAATGGTTATGTTCAAAATAATCATAATCGAGGCTATCAAAATCAATTTCAAGGGCAGACCCGGCAGTGGCAGAACTCGCGACAGAGTCAAGCTAAAGCGTTTCGATATCGAAATGCAACTCAGAATCGATCCGGTGGCTATAATTATGGCCCGTTCCGATTTGATTATAGACAAAACGGAGCCGGAGGTCGGAGTAATGGCCCGTATCGAAATTATCAAGACCGTTATAGCCGTGAACGATTTGGCGGCCAAAACCAAGCCCCTTTTCGTCCGCAACGACGACAACAGCAGCAACGATCAGGTAATCAATACTCGACACAACAACAGAGAGTGCCGCCGAATAATACGGTGACCTGGAAACCGCCACAGACACAAAGTTTCTTTAGACGTCAACGTCGATATAGAAATAGAAATAGATTTCAAGCTGCTCAGGCGACGAATGAAAACTTGTTGTTGAGCAATAATCGGTTTGTCGCTCTAGCTGAATTCGACG